AGATTAAAAAGGACTATCATTCTTGGCTAAGTGGTTATTGCAAGTGTGTTAAAATCAGTGTTGTAGTCGAGACCAGATAGTCCGAGACCGAGACCAAGACCGAGACCTGAAGTTGCGAGACCAAGACCGAGACCGAGACCAGCCCCTTCAAGGCGGACCGAGATCGAGACCGAAATGGTCCGAGACCGAGACCGAGACCGAGACCGCAGATAATAAATAACAATAATCTAAATAAAAAAACAAGTCACTAATTACAGCTGAACAGTATGTCCTTGAGATGATGATGTTGATGGGGATGTGAAGGAAGTGATTGAAAGCTAGGAATCACTTGTACCTGCTTAATTGTGTCATGGGAGTGCTCTTCATGTTTGCTTCATACCATAAATTACAACATGGCAACATATTTTGTTATTGTCAAAATCAATTAAAAAAAGGGAAACAACCTAATTTAAAGAAGGCAAAAACCTAATTTGATGAACTCGATATATTTTTTTTATAATATGCTTTTTTAAAAGCATATTTTTTTAAATATAATATTGTTTAACTACTATAAAGTGTCAATCTGATGAAGAAACTCTAACTTAGGAGTACGGCAATTTGTACTAGTTTTTTGCGATGTTGAAACTTGACAAAAGTAAAAGTTAAAGGTGGATGTTTCATCTGTTATAGGAACTAAACTAAACTGTTACAGGACCCTAAACTCCACAGCCACCCCTTGGTTTCAGCAATGACTACTAACAGATATTTAAAAGCAGCTTTAATTTTACATTGGACCTCCTTGTAAACCTGATGAAAAAAATAATTTGGAGCAAGAAAATATTGATTTATTTTTTAAAATTTCAGTCATGGAATATAGACTTGTACATGCAGACCCAAAAATGGAGAGGTGGTCGCCAGAGAGGCCTGGCTTAGGCTGAAATGTAATGCCACTTTATTTGTGTATAATGTCAATACCATTACATATACTATAGAAGATTGATGAACCATATTGGCTTGATCTATCTTCTGTTAATCTGCCCGCCGTCATCATCACCATTAGCCTATTTGAGAATGAGGCCGACACAATAAAAGGGCGCTGTCACAAACTGAATGTGGTGGGCGAGATGTACTTTTAGGATTCATGGCTGCGTGCGCACGCCTATTTGTGTTTTGTACCAGCGTATCACCCGCATCTGGTCTCGAGACCAGCCAAAATATCGAGACCAAAGGGGACCGAGACCGAGACCAAGACCGAGACCACAGCTCCCGAGACCGAGACCGAGACCGAGACCAGCAAAAAGTGGTCTCGAGACCGAGACCGAGACCGGTCTCGAGACCGGTCTCGAGACCTACAACACTGGTTAAAATTATTCGAAATTTGTGATGTTGATACATATTTTAAGAGGTTTCGGTCAGCAAGCAATCACGAGTTTAGAAAATCATGAAATTTAGCACAGGACTGAGAAAAAAAGGGCAAAGTTAACTAAAAATTTGATCAAATTTGTTTGGTTAAATACCAATCAAACAGATGTACATGTAATTGGTTGATAGTAAGAGGATGTACATGTACAATTCTTACGCCATGCTCTCGACAAAGGCATACAACTGCTCCGAACCTCAGAAAATCACAAGAGTTTCTTAATTTTAATGCATCTAAGGAGCACAGACGTTTTCAATCATTTTCAAACCAGACGGGGTACGTCAACATTAAATTTTTATTTCCTTGTGCTCAGTGTCAAGGGTCATGTGACTACTTCACAAAAGCAATGCCGTTTAACCATCACTGTACTGTGACACCATTCAAATACTCTCACAGACATGTTCACCAGGCGCGGATCCAGGGGTGGGCCGCGGGGGCACGTGCCCCCCCCCCCCCCCCCCGTAAAATTAAGTCCACAAAAAAATACAATGAATAAAACAGGGGTGAAAAAGATGGGGAGGTGAGAGAAATGGAGGGAAGGAGGAGGGCAACCTTCTAACAAAAATACCGGTGCCGATATTAAACATCAGCGGCCTGCAAACATTGTGTACTGGCCGTATGACACAGGGAACTCGAGAAGCTTCGAAATAAACAGCAATCCCGGCCACGGTACGTACTCCATACGTAACTCTGCATAGTATATCGGTTTATGAAATGCGATTCATATGAGCGTACGTACCGGTACGAAAAACACGCATCACGTGTGACAGCCGATGTGCTGTGTTTAGCGCGATGAGCGCGACATACACATTGAACGCTGCTATTTGTACCACACTATTGGTCAAGGGTACGGTTTTCGTACAAACACTTTGCCAGCATTTCTTCGGCGCTTTTAAGGAGTCCAAAACATATCCGTTTCCGTAGAAAATTTCCATCTTTTCTTATAAGAAAATCTCATCTTATTGATAAACTGAAAATTTAAACTTGATACAAAACATTAGAAAGCATCCTTGCAAAAGTTTACAAATTAAGTCTATACAATTCCCTTTCAAAAATAAAATGCACGAAAACAATTATGCAGACGAAAATGGTTATCAAGTGAAAAACAGAAGAAACCTAAAAGGCTTGTTAAAGCAAGAGTATATATTAAACCTATGAAAAAAAAATCCTTATTTTACTTAAAATATTTTGCTCAAATAACTCAGGGAAAGAGGGGCCAGGAATCGCCTCAGATTGCACCACGTAGCATCTAATTATCAAAAAAATTCCCGGGGCCCTTAAGTGGGCCCCGGACCCCATGCCGAAGAACATTCGCGCTCCACATTATTAGTCCTCGGGGCAGGTCTCCCCAGCCTTACGCATCCTTAAAACAGTTTACAAACTAAGCCTATCCAATTCCTTTTCCAAAATAAAATGCAAGAAGCTGATTGCAGTTCGAAAATACTTGGTTATCAAGTGAAGAACAGAAGAAACTTAATTAGGCTTGTATTAAGAAATACAAGAGTACAATTTTAAACTAATGAACAAAAAATAAAAACATTACCGCAAACCGAAGCGATAATGAAAAAAAAATCTGATATTCTTCACAACATTTTGCTGAAATGGGGCCAGGGATCGCCTGAGATTGCACCACAGAGCATCCATAGAATCCAAAATTTCTTGGGGGCCCTTCAGTGGGTCCCAAACCCCACGCCGTAAGACACTGCTCCGCGTTCGCATTAGTCCTTGGAGCAAATGCCCCAGCGCATCACCCATTGCAACAGTTTTCTAAGTCAATACAATTCCTTTTTTTATTTTTAAATACAATGCTTGAAATTATGCAGACGGAAATAAATAACTTTGAGGGTACACAGTAGCTTAAAATTTGTAACAAGAGTATATTTTAAAAAAAAAATCCTTATGAGCTTAACAACTTTTGCTCAAATAATTCAGGGGGAAAGGGGCCAGGAATCGCCTCAGATTGCACCACAGAGTATCTAGAATCCAAAATTTTCCGGGACCCTAAAGCGGGCCCCGGACCTCATGCCGTAAGGGCTTCGCGCTCCATGCTCGCATTAGTCCTCGGAGCAAATGCTCTAAAGGTGTGCCCCCCCGTCTAAAGAAATCCTGGATCCGCGCCTGTTCACAGTATTGCATTCATAGCAATGAGCACTATTTATACTTTACAAAGGTAATGGCAGTGCCACTGCTGCATGCTTGGGGAACCTCTCAATTTAAGGAAAGGCTGCTATATTAATGACAACAACTTTGGAGTAACATGTCTACAATATCATTGACAACATCGTACAGGACATCAAAGCCATATTGCAACCCTGGATAGCCTTGTGGTCAAGAATGCGTTGAGTATGCGCATTTGATTTGAATCGAAATCAAAGCTCACGTGATCCAACCCCTGCACATAGCCACACAAAAGTTCTTGTCAAGCAAACCGTATATGGAGACTATTCGTTATTGTTGAAGCATTTCCTCATGCAAGAATGAAAAGGCCTTTTTTTTTTGGTACCACCCTTCCCTGGCTAGTTCTGACTTGAGGTCATTGGGGTCACATTCTTATTCATATTCTAATAGCATGTAAATGTTTCCTGTGCGTCACTATGTATAAAAGGTGTGTTTTCACAAGAAACATGTTGTTTGCAGGTTATACAACAACCACCCTTAGTAATTTCATTACTGGATTAGTGTAAACAAACTATTTCATTTCTATGGAAAAACTTTCTATGGAAAGGAAGGTTCAATAAATGAGGATAACAATTTCATTGAGTTCTGGTCGGACATCTGGATCTGATCTGATGAAGTACGGCAAGCTCTACTTTTGGGCAGTCAAAAGAAAGAATATTTAGTTTTGCAAACAAAATACTGGCACTAAGCAGGACGTGAACCTTTGCTCATTGGAAAGCTAACATGCATCCATAGCCGTATGTTGGCATGTCCAAAGTGGCCAGCGCGAATCTGTAGAATGGTAGTATGGAGATCTAGAAGTTAAGGGTTCTAATCCACTCCTGAAAAAAAAGTTCCTGTAGTTTTCCTATTTGATGCAAAAGAAAACTAGTTTCTGACTGAGCATTATCAAATGCAGTGTGTGTACGCCCCATTTCTGTCAACAACATGTCAAGGGGAAAACGGGCCCAGAAAATTCTCGACGCTAAACAACACAATGAACGCTGTGCAATCAATGCTCTGGTGATTTAGCCCGTCAGCTCCAAAAGAACCAAAACCATTCCCCTTCTGTTATTCAAAATCACAGGTGTGGCCAGCACAAAAGATTACGACTGCAGTAGAAAAAAAATGCTCCTTTCATAAATGAGGAAGTATACTGTACCAGGCTTGTAAACGTTGACGGCACATTTTCCAAATTAGGACTGAAAAATTGAAAAGCTTTGAATCTGTTCACTGGAAGTAAAAGCAAATCAACACTGTGCCAGATTTCAAGTTGACGCTCGTCGCAACAGAGACTGGTCTTCCTTTTCCTGGAGTTTTACAAAGACTGACTTTCCAGAGGATTTTTCAAGCTCAATACTGCAGGCGTCAATTGCCGTGGTACTTGCTGTACGGACATACGTGTGTGCATAGTCTGTAAACAGCAAAATCTGTAAACAGCAAAATGGCTTCTGCAATTCTGAGTCTTCAGCTTCTGGTCGTTATCCTCTGTGCCACTGTTTGTCCTTCACAATCACAAACCCTGAGCGTTGTCGTCACCTACGAGGGTGAAGGAAGACAGGTTCAGAGCACTGAGGGCACAGACATTGATCTTCTCTGCCAAGTAGAAAACCTAAACGGCCGATTTGTCGCTTGGTTTCAAGGGACTACTAATCGAATCACTCAAAATGAAAAATATCAACTGACAGCTAATGAAACTACAGGCATGTATACACTGAAAATACTAAATGTAACACGTGTGACTGACAGTGCAACTTACTTCTGTTTAGTTTTAGACTCGGATGATGCTCCATTCCAATCTTATGTTGAAAGGGGAAGCATTTCGGTGCAAGTCTTCTATTTCCCAGATGCAGGGAATCCAAAATGCTACGGCCAATCAGTCATACAAGAAGGAGTTACTCAAGGATTTAACTGTCAGAGCCAAACTGGTGAACCTCCCGTTGTTGCAGAGTGGAGGCGAGATATGGGAGTCATTGAAACTGGCAGTATATCAACAGGCGCATACGAACCGGCAAATGGAACGACATATTCTGACTACACCATTGTGCCCACAAAAGCCGACATAGGTGTTACCTTAACATGCAAAATAACAAGTTCTGATTTTCCGGGAATGACGTCATTGTGTACAATTGGACCTCTGGTTGTCCAGTTCCGTCCCAGTGATGTTGCCATCACCGACACGACCTACTCACAAGATAACACAACATACGATGCCCTATCCTGTAACGCCACCGCATATCCACCGGACATTTCCTACAGCTGGAACTTCAACACACCGCTGGACTCCTCCCAACAGCTGATAACTGATGACAACCAGACGCTGGTCATTCTTAACGTCACCTCGTGCGAGACTACGATAATAGCTACCTGCATCGCAGTCAACGACATCGGAAGCGGGTCTGTAAACTTCACCCTCTGTGAGCCCCCACCACTGCCAACCACCGAAGTCACAACACTTCCAGACACTACAACTGAGATTGCCGAACTGCCTTCCACAGGAGCTTCCGTGATCACTGCGAGTCCACTGCCATTGGAGACGGAGCCCCCGACTACGGAGCCCCCGACTACAAAAGCCAACAAGACCATTACAGATCCTCCAATCGGCCTGACTCCTGCCTTGTACGCCATCATCGGTTGTGGAGCGTTCATAATCCTTGCTTTGTTCATTGGCGTGTGCTGTTTTGTGGTGCAGAAAGGCAGCCAGACAGATGATGAGGATCAGGATGAGACTGTGGAGAAAACATTCCAACCAAAAAACGTCAGATCCTTATCCATCGCTTACATAGAAGAAGATGATGCGGAGCCCTTCGAAATAGGAATGACTAACCTAACCTTTGTAGAAGAGGCTGATGAGAAGGAGCAAGATGGTCTTGAGAAGAGTCCTGAGGAGAATAAATACGTGAATGCTCCCTTGCATGTTCCTACCGACGATGCTACGCCTGAAGACATCCAGACAGAGAGTCCTACTGTTGACACCTCATCATATGACAAGGGCAACGAGACTGCCCTTGAGAACGAGGAAGGCAAACCTAACTCCGTTAGTGACAAGCCTGAGGAAGCTGAAGGTGACGGCATAGATGACGATCGCCATGATGATGATCTCCAGGACAACAATCGTCATGACGATGGAGATGATGGCACCACAGACAACAAAGACAAGGATGGTTACGAAAAGATGGCGTTTCCGTCAATCGACGACAATCGTCATGATGACGGAGATGATAGCACCACAGATAACAAAGACAAGGATGGTTTCGAAAAGATGGCGTCTCCCTCAATCGACGACAATCGTCATGATGACGGAGATGATGGCACCACAGACAACAAAGATGACGACGATAATGAAGAAATGGTGTCTGCATCCGTGGAAGAGGGAACAGAGGATAATAGGAAGAGCCTGGTCCAGGAGGCACTGCTTGCTGTGCAGGTAGGCAGCTCAAAGACAGACAGTTTGGCCAGGGCGGGTCACAAAGTCCCCCAAGAGGTGGAAATCTGAACTGATTTTCTAAATGGATAATGACAAATGATTAGATTGAAAGATACGTGCCAATCAGAAGTAATGTAAATACATGTACCAACAACTTCTTTGCTCAATCTAAAAAAAAAAGAACCAGAACCCTTTTTTTATGAAATGCATATAATTCAAGTACATGTATGATATGCTGTACAAACAAAAATGTGCATCTTCAAAAGACTTTGAAGACTTGTTTCCTATTTTAGTGTTTTTTCCTTTTTAATAGCGGGCATTTTGTTGTCATTGAGCCGGTCTAAGTACGTGCTTAGTATGGGGGCTGCTGGGAATTGGCAAAATTTGAGAAAATTTAATAAAACTACGGTATGTAAAAAGTGAATTTGCAATAGTGCTTAAACTGTCAAAAAATACCAAAATATGCATTGAATAAGTGGCATTTACACAGAGCAGAGTTTAATGAGTTATTATTACCAAGATTTGCAGTAATTGTAGGAGATTAAAGGACTATCATTCTTGGCTAAGTAGTTATTGCAAGTGTGTTAAAATTATTCAAGATTTGTGATGTTGATACATATTTTAAGAGGTTTCTGTCTGCAAGCAATCACGAGTTTAGAAAATCATGAAATTGAGCACAGGACTGAGAAAAAAAGTGCAAAGTTAACTAAAAATTTGACCAAATTTGTTTGGTTAAATACGTTTACTACAATCAAACAGATGTACATGTAACTCTTGTTTTTCTAATTGTTTTTATATTCCTGAAAGAATGCCGACAAAAATTGAAAACACTAAAGCTCCTTTAAAATAAAATACAGGTAATTTTTAATTTGCTTGTGCATATGCGCAAAATAGTATGTTATTAAATAAGGCATGATGAAAGATATCTGTACAATTTGGAGTATTGAAAGATTAGGCCAAAAAAAAAAAAAAGTCGGTCTCTGGTCAGCGCGCGCGTCGATTTTAATCATGCGCGTCAATCTTTTTTTTTTCTTCAAAAATGTTTCGCGGTAGCTCCAACAGCGCCTTCTATTGCCGCACCTCCTCAATTTTTTTTACCAAAGAGCACCAAGGAATAGGAAATTGCACCAAGGCAAATGATCAAGAGCACCAAGGCAAATTATGGACACCAATGAACATGAGGACACCAAAAAAGCAAAAAAGTACCCCACCTTGTCTGTACAATCCAAGCTTGAAGAAAAAAAAAAAAGCAAAAAAAAAAAAAAAAAAAACGCGTCCCCGCGCGTCAATTATGGAACTTTGGTCTGACCAGAATATTTTTTTTTTTTGCCTTATAACCAGATTTTTTTTACGGCCAAGTGTTTGAAATATTTGTTTTAAATAATGGTACAGGTGGTCTTATACTGAGTTTAATTGTTTCCTTGATTGATTTGATTTTACCCAGATATCTGAATTTTATGAAGTACTGAAAGATTATAACCACAGATTTTTTAGGGCCAAGTGTTTGAAATATTTGTTTTAAATAATGGTATGGTCTTATACTGAGTTTAATTGTTTCCTTGATTGATTTGATTTTACCCAGATATCTGAATTTTAAGGCAATGCACATGTTACTGTCAAGTTCCCAGGCTCCAATATTTCTGAGATGTGAAAATTGTAGCAGTAAATGTGATAAATGTACATAGGCTTAAATATGGAAGCAAATTTATATGAATGCCATGTAACATGTAATTCTAAGGCTTAAAAAGTGGATATGTTGCTCGTTAAGTTTTACTCAGATTAAAAAATTAATGAATCTTTATTGATTTTGTAAGCCAGAAATGCTGTTTGTACACAGAAGTGAAAATTGCTGACATTTTCAACAAATGTAATATTATTCAAGCAAAAAATTTGCAAAAATATTGGTTGATAGCCTTATTTTTTTTAACGGTGTTAGCAAAATCTTACAGAAACTAAGAATATAGGCCTATTTACAGATGAGAAATATCCGATAAATGTAAACTGTAAAAAAAAATATGAAAACTTTTGGTACCAGTATTTGTCCGAAAATCGCTGACATGGGGTCAATACTGTAGTCATGATAACAAAATCTCTGTAGATTCCAACCTTTGTGAAAGAAGGAAACAGTTAAGGTTGGATGAATTTCAGCGGAACTAGGGGAAGCAGATTAACCCCCACTCTCATGGTGTGGCTTTCATTGGAGGTCACAAGAGACCTTTTTCATCTCAAGTTTCAAATTGAAGTTTCCCTCCATAAAATGCCACGGAATTCTGACAGAAAAGGGTAAATGATGTATTACATGTACCTTGTTATAACGATGACAGCATACTTAGAGAATTGTAAAAAAAAGCTGTATGATAGGAAAATTGCATCTAAAAGAAGTGAATATCTCAAAACCAACAGGAAATGAAATGTTTGCCCACCACTTTGGCTCAGTTTATGTAGTTTATTTACAAAACGGGCTATATCCATTTGAAAAATAGTGAAAAATGTTGACATTATGAAATTTTGAAGAATAGAAAACAGTATAACAACTGTACATCAGATTCAAACCAGCCAACCGATCTTGCAGGCTCGGTGGTCAAGTGGTAAGATGTCCGCACTAGAAAGCAGGAGGTAGTGGGTTCGAGGCCCACTGAGTGATTTTTTCCAACTTTCACTCGGGAGGTAACACACAGAGTATACGGTGCTTATACGGGTTCATACCCATGTTCCCCAATACCGATGTTCCCCAATACTGATGTTCCCCCTAACCCTAACACTAACCCTTACCCTAATCCTAAGGATTTCGCGGAACATCGGAAGTGGGGAACATAAGTATTGGGGAACATCGTGTAGACCCCGTTTATATGTCGGCGAAAAGCAAAACCTAATATTGATATACATCACACCGAAGCAAAATTCCATCTTATGAATAGTATAACAACTGTTTCTAAACCTTTTTTTACGCATGTACATTGTATATTGCTAAATACTGTATTCTTAAGTTTGTTAATCTTCATAAAACTTGTCAAAGCTGACTTTAAGCGGCCAGAAGGGGGAGGAATTCTAATAGGTAACAAAATGGCATTTAGCACGTTATGGAATATACTCTTCTTATGTAAATATCTCACCAAAATAAAATCAATGTGTAAATTTTTTTTAACTGATTTTTTTAAGTCAAGTTATTATTAATTGTACATGATTATGACAAAAAGTAAATGGTGTAGGATTTTTCTAGTGTACGATTTTCCTGGTTAAAATGCTGATTTTTATAATGTCAATTTATTTAGGGAAACTGAGTCACAGGCCGATGCCAACTCAATTTCTATTTTCCGGAAAATGTCACTTTTAATTCTTTGTAACAAAGTTATGAGGAAATTAAAGAGAACACATTTTTGAGAATATTATTTTTAAAATTGTAGTAATTTTGGCTAAAATTTGAATTTGATTGGAGAGACTTGGGACTCACTTCCCTTGACCAGCTCACATTTAATAGCTGCTTGTCTGCAAATAAAGGGAGGAAAATGGAAGACATGGCATGAAAATGACTTTACTTCAGAGAGTCTTTAAAATTCTAAACAAGTGCACGTTATTTTTAATACTTCACTCTTTCAGTGCCAAAGTCGTACATGTACGAGGTATATTTGTTAGTAAGAAATTGCCAACCTCGTACATGTACGAGGTAATGTTCGTACTTAAAATCGCCAAACCTCGTACAAGTAGGAGGTAGAGTAGGCATGTTGTCACAAGGGGGCGCTCTCGCTCTTTTTTTAATAATATCATTTTCATTCAGGTACGACCTGTATTTATTTGTTTCATTCGAGTTCTTGCAAGAGGGCGCAACACTGACACTCAAATTTTCTGCAAAAAGTGCGGAATTCCCCTGTGTGTGCAGGACAGTGTTTCAGGGTGTATCACTATGTTCGTGACTACTACTGACTTTCCAATGTACCAAGGATATACCAGAGAGCAACAACAACAAAGTTAGCGAGTAAAACTTATTTCCTTTTTTTTTTTAAAGAGTTTTGAACAATTAAAAAAAAAGCTCGAAGATGGGCACTTTAGGGTTAAACTTTTTAAATTTCACGGGCGCTGAAAGAGTTAAGAGAAATATTCACGTCCATTTAACCTTATATTCCACAAGGTTGACACACATTAGGCCAAAAAAAAAAAGTCTCCGGTTTCTGGTATGGAGCTTGCCCCCCAAAAAAGTGGCGCGGCGATGCGGCTTTTTTTTTGTTTTTACCTGTTTTTTTTTGCTTCAAATGTCGGCTGATGACTGCAAATGGTGCCCGACTAAACCTAGTGCAAATTTATGGGAGTCCGGAGAGGCCACATAAAGCTTATTCTCGATCATAACCCCATCTAAAAACACGTTAAAATTGTGCAGCAGCAGGATTCCAGTCAAACCAGTGAGTTTGGTGATTTTGAGACATCATCTTTTATTGAAAAAAAAAAATTTTTCATTTTGCCAACGTGCATGGCTACGGCGACGCGCGCGCATACCAGAAACCGAAGACTTTTTTTTTGGCCTTAGGGGGCCTACTGCAATTAAGCTGGACGATTAAAATATAGAACAGGAAACATTGTCATACATGTACATTGTATCTCCAAAGCTAACTGACAATTTGAACACTGTACAACTACAATACTTGTTCTCATACAAATATGGGGCAATTCTGGTCTTGAATAAATCAAATTTTAATAAATTTTCCACAAATTCTAACCAAAACAGCACTGCATACGTTCGGTAGTTATTCTGGAATAACTTTCTGAAATTAAAACTTATATATTTATCTAAGGAAGAAAATGGCATATATTTGCATTTTCTCTGCAGTAACTATTTGGAATTAATAATAATAATTCAGATTTTTGGTCACAAACTATTATGTGAAATTGTTTATAATGGATACCCAGCTTCGGAAATTAACAGTCAATTTATCAACCTCAATAAATTCACACTAACACAGTGTAATACTTTACAATGCCCCAAATTACTTCATTGTGAATGCTCAGACATGCCCACAGCTGCTACACAGCAAACTTGTGCACAAATCACTGACATGGGCCAACTCGCCTGCCCAGCCCACAATGGCCTCATTTGCATACCAAGTCCCGCCCACTGAGCAACAGCCAGCCCAGCTGTTGGTGGCCCCTGATTGGTCCAATGTGGCACACTTCTGGTGTCACTCACACAGATGGGCCCCGCACGTGGCATAAGTGTGACTCAAGAGAGGGGGTGATGTCATTGGATAGCATTAGGTGTGTGTAAATCCATAGTGTGTGTACTAGGCTCAGCTAGCTAGAGAGGCAGGCCAGAGAATCACTGAGCACTTTCAGATATTTCATGGGATGCCAGCGTAGAAGACAGATGTAAAAAATCCTCATGCACAGCCTACAATTCCTGGAAAAACTGCATGCACTTTGCAAGAGCTTGTGAAATTGGAGAAATTGTCACTGCTGCCAGCTTTTTCAAAGCTTTTGTAAAATTGACCGGATCAGATGATTAACTGGATCCATCAGCCAATGAGAAGAGAGATTTTGACGTTAAACATTTACAGAGACATCTGTGGTTGTGTTGTGTGCTCTGCAAATGTTCTCTGCAGTCTGCATGTAATGGGATGGTGATGAGATGAATTCCAGCTGAATTGATGCCAGAGAATGCTAGAGATTGCAACGTTAGTTTGTGACTACTGCTGATTCTTGCAACTTAGGAACTCAATTTCGGGGAACTGAATTTGTACATTAGCTCTCAAGATGGAGTGGTACAGGATCAGATCCAAGTCTTTGCAGACATCGCTGCAGTTTCTCTCCTTAATTGCAGTAGCTCTTTGTCAACCAGATTTCAAAATTGAACCTATGGAGACCACGGCACTCGAGGGTGGCAATGTGACCATTTATTGTGTGATTAACAATCTGCAGTCAAACCATGAACTGCAATGGTATCGTGGAGGGATCCTAATCAGCCGAGATGCGGGCATGCTAATTACGGAGACGCGCCTCCGTGTTGAGATGGACCTGAATCGTGGTGAGTACAATCTCATGATAAACCATGTGACTTTAGGGGACGATACAACATACAGCTGTCAGGTGATCGACAAAAGCACTGACACGGAAGTATTGGAGTCTGGTGCCGTCAGGCTGGTGGTGCACCATGTCCCGCCCAGCAGGTACCCCAGCTGCTTCCCCTTGACCAAAGACAGCTACCAGGTGGGTGAGGAGATCACCATCACGTGCCAGTCGGAGCGCGGCAACCCGCCGGTCACTCTGATGTGGACCCATGCGGGAGATCCTCTGCCCATTCACACGGACGATACGCAAATCGGCTTCCGGAACATCGATTACACCTTCAGGGTCGGGCCCGAGAATCACGGAAATATATTCCAGTGCAAGCTGACCACCTCAGCCACAAACCTGGTCCGTCGAAGCTGCAGTCTTGGACCACTGGACGTGACCTTCCCGCCAACTTTCGCAGAGATTGAAGGTTCAAATTACGTCGCAGCTGACCAGGAAATAGAGCTCACTTGCAACTCCGAGGCCAATCCTCCTCCTTCCTACATCTGGACCTTCAGCGAAAAAATTGACCAAAACAGGATCACTTACCATGACGACAACAAGCGTATAACCTTCACGGCAGCACTTGCTGATAGCGGTCTGATCATCGGGTGTAACGCAACCAACGACCTCGGAACGGTACGGGATGCAATCACGCTCAGTGTCAACCAAGCGCTTACAAATCCCATCTACGGCACAACGCCATCCAGGAAGATGACACCAAATGATGGTTTGGACACAGGAGGAGCCCCAAGTAAACCTCAAACAGATCCAAATAACATCATTCTCAAGCCAGAGGTTCTGGCAATCATCGCAAGCACCCTTACACTCATCCTTTTAGTCCTCATTGTTCTGGTTGTAGTGACCTGCCGGTGCCGGCCACAGAACACCAAGACCGTCACCCAAATGCCCCAGATGATCTACGGCCAGTACGGGCCCTCGTCTGTCCAGAACTGGGAGCAAGGCAGCATCTACTTTGAGCCCAGAGACCGCATCAGCGTCAGGGACATGCCCACGTGGCAACGGCCAGCTCCCTGGCACCGGAACGTTGCAGTACAGGTGCCCTGGGTAGAGGAGCCACCTTACGAAGAAATCGGACAAAACTGGGACGAGGGTATGACGCTAGAGATTTGAGGCAACTATTTTCAGCCCAAAAAAATGTAAATATGTATATATTCAAATTAATTTTTGTAAAAGGAAAATTCTGAAGAAAAGTACTCCTCGATGACATTATTAAAATCTCATCCGATCACTGTTAGAAATTGACCAAAAGATAACATTACAAAAAACACAAGTATCACAAATTAATAAATGCAAGTTTATTTTCATTTCAACATTTTTCAATTTGTGGCAATGCCATCATTGCACTTATATGTAATTATGCACTCAAAGTGTTACCCTAAGGGGTAAACCTAAATATGTCCTACCCTTCTGATGCAACTTTAATCTTTGTGCCTTCTTAAGTTTTTAGACAGGATGTCCGAAAAGAAGATGTTCTTATCTTTGTCAGTTCTTAATACTTAAGTGATAGCATTATATACAATGGTCTTTTTTTCCACCATGATTTGGTAAAATTCTCTCCTTCAATTTGTGAAATTTTTCACTGGACTGGTTAAACATATTGTTAAAATAGAAACCTGTTTGACCATCGTCTTTTAGCACAATCAACTTTCAAACTGAAAAGGAAATGGGCAGTCCATGCTTGGTCAGAATTTACACTGCGAACTTGAAAAAGTAGGCTAACCACTTGTCAACTTCCAAATGTCACCATTCAATTATCCAACTTTTTTTTTTACTTTCTGAAAAGATTGGACATAATCTGGTTAAATTTTCACTGGGAAACTTTGCCAACACCACATTGGAAAACTTGGGTGTCCATCATTATGTATTGGCAAAACATGGACTTTTTTCTTTGGACATCCTGGGTTTTTTTGGGGTACTTTTACTGTGCAATACTGCGATACCAAGTACTACACAAAAAGGTGTGAACCAAGTGATTTTTGTCTGATACATGTAAGTTGTGTGTTTGCAGATTGTCTAGCTGTAAGTCTGCAAAATTTATGTAATGCTAACACGTCGATTTTTCTAATACAATGTATAATGGAAATTGTTTACTTTGCATTGGGCTAACATTGCCAAAGTTGATGGTATATAATCTGTGTAAGTTTGTAACTGTATACTTCACTGAAAAAAACAACGTAAAGTCATTCCAAAATTTGCTCTTTAAAGGACAAATAATAGTAGTTTAGTATAAAGGAATACATTTCTTTCTGTTTTTCCAAAGAAAATGCCTCCTTATTAACTCTTTAATTTGCGCATTGCAATATCAATCGAATGTATTTTTTTCAAAAATAAATTATACATATTTTTCAATTTAAAACAAAACCTCCATATAGGCCTATTTGAACAAAACTATTTATTTTGGGCTCGGTAAATGTACTATGTAGCACTCCCTACCATGAAAAATTCACACCTACATGTACATTTAAAATGTATGGGGTAATCCTGTTTTGAAATATTGAAACAATTATAGAATTCTAACTGGATGAGCTCATCACTCCGATTCTAAATTAAAATGTATTTGTTCCCCTCGCAAACACTCACGCGGAGGTTCGCAGCTTTAATGTAACCGAGCCAATTATGCTGGTAGGCCCAATCAATATAGGCTATGCAGAGCCTGTCAACAGAGGTGATGGAAACTGATGTTAATTTTTAACCCCCTGTGTTTGACTAAAGGTCTCTTTGTGTGGGACGTCATTAGAAAAAAACTAGCATAATTTGCTGAATGCAAAAGCACATTGTAAATGGGATGCACATTGTAAATGTGATGGCTTTTATATTGGAAAGAAGCGATATTGTGCCAGCGCAGTGAAGTATTTTGTGTAAATGCCATATTCAGAAGTTAATTTTTATCTAACATCGCACTCGGATGAAAATTTGAGGTTGAGAAAAAAAAATAGAATTGAAGATACATTTGTTTTGTAAAACGATGGGTTTTTGCCTTCATTTTGTATTTGTTTTTAAATTGTACTCAGATTTTGACTAATATGGAATTCCAAACCAGTTCTAACAGATAAGGGCCTCATATCAATATTTTGAAATAAAAATCTCATGACACTTGATAAACAAAATGTTTAAAAGAAGATATTGTCAGCACAGTGAACATTTTTGTGTAAATGCCATTCAGAAGTCTATTTATACCTGACACCCCACTCGGATGAAAATTTGAGGTTGAGAAAGAAAATAGAATAGAACTTGAGATACATTTGTTTTGTAAAACGAAGGGTTTTAGCCTTTATTTTTTATTTATGTTTAAATTTTACTCCGATTTTGTCTAATGTGGAATTCAAAACCATTCCTAACAGATAAGGGCCTCATATCCTTATTTTGAAATAAAAACATTATGACACCTGAGAAACAAAATGTTCAAAAGAAAAATAAAAATCCTGACAACTGCAGTATGCTTCAATGTGTACACATGCAATATGCAGTCCTAAATCACCTCATCTGTCATATGGTGAACACACAGTCTCATATATTTCAACAGGGATGCATTGGGTTATGGCAAACTAATCACTTCTGAGTGGGCTAGACTCAGCAAGAGTATAATGATCTCGTCAAGTGAGTTCCCCATTCGCTAATTGCCACACTCCTGAAATGACGAAAGAGGAGATAATAACTACCTCAACCATTTGTCAGACCATGGTCAGACGGATACTGCTAGGCAATCAACCATTTTGGTTTCATACACAGAATTGAGGCAATTTTGTACAAATGCAACGCAAAAAATTCACGGATCATTGCAATATCTTTATTGTAGCTGGATGCCACACTATACGCCGGCAACAGACATTTGAGATTTAGGGCCTACTTGAATTTTAAGAGCTTTTACAAAAATGAAGCCCCTGGAAAAAAAAGCAGTCACCCAAGACTGATGCATGATGAACTTATTGGTCCAAAATCTCATTAATAATATATGTTATCTTCATACCAGGTTGCCATGGTTACTTGGCCAGATGAGGGGTTGTTTCCATAACAGAACATTTTTGAATTATTTCACAGGGCCATTTGAGAAAAAGATGTTTGACTTCGCTGTTTCATTATCAATGATAATTTTTCGGACAGTACTCAAGAATTACAAGTTCTAGGCATTCTCAAATCCCAGATGACTATAGTGAGCATGCACTGACTGAAATGTAAAGTTCAAGTAATGATTATGTTAAGAAACAACATGTTTATACACAGGACACTTTTCAAATGCATCAAAAGCATAAAAAGCATCAATCTAAAAAGCTGTTTGAGGCTGACCCTAATGGAACTTCTAGTGGGCCCAAACATGCATAATATACATGTACATGTATGGCACATGTAGTAAACCCCGATATGTACACAGACCCACGCTGTACACTATGATGATTCACGTTCTGTCATGCTTGTTATCCCATAAGTCTTTTGTTAAAAATCACTCAAGTTTGATGGGGAAAGCCCATATGAACAAGTCATCATTCTAAAAACAAGCTACATACCGGGCTATGAATTCATATGATTGGGGAAAAAAGTGGGTTTTTTTTCTCGAACATCCAAAGTGGTTTCCGTGATTCTTAGTGAATATGTGTACAACAAGCCTTAGAAAACTGCAAAACCTATGCGTGGTAACAAAGTAAAAGTAATGCACCGCAGATGAAAAAAAGGACAAAGTCCTTATCAGCTTTTGCATTTGTGTGAAGAAACTATAACTTTCTGCCTAGGTTAAGATAGGGTCACAAACAGTAAATTTGCAGTTGACATGTATCTCTTACCAAGAAAAATCTTCCTGTTGCTGTTTTTCAACAATGTCCAATATCATGGTTGGCTGGCTTAATCCAATTATCTTAATTAATTTTTCAATATGAGGTCACCTCTTGTTCATAACAAGAGTCTAGGTTAATTGAGAAAATGAGAAGGTACTTTCTGACCTTGATACGCAGTTCTTCTCTATTCGCTTTTTCACACTTCCGCCATGGGCATGCAGAGCATCGATCTGGCAACTTTACGCAATAGATAAAGCCGGTTCAGTGATTCCCGTGTCGGGGTTCAGATCACAGAACCGGCTATTTTAAGTTGCCAGATCGAGGCTCTGCATGCCCATGGCGGAGCGTGATAAGAGCGAATTGGAAGAAGAAAAAGCAAAATTTATTGCTGATCTACCGGTAAGTTGCCTTTTATTTTCATTAGTAGCAGTAAGTGAAGTCTTGGATTATACATGTACATGTACTTGATTATAATGCATGAACTGTGGTTCACATAGTGCAAGGGAAATGTATTTATGTTACCCCGAAAACCTTCCAAATAATAGCATGTGCAAAACTGAAGAGAAAAATGACCAAAATCGACCAACACAATTGATGATTGACTAATTGTTGAAATTGGAGGCCCTTGTCCTCCCTCCTGTCCAGGCAAGCCCCGCCCCTTTTGCATCCTACATCCACTCCTCTCATTGTTGAAAAAGTACAATGTATGACATCATTAAGTCAATAAAAGTGTTGGGAGGTGATCCCCCTGAGCTCATCAACCATAATTGAGATTATTAATTCTGCAATGTGCTGTTGGACAATTCATGGTTAGAATGAGCTCATCTGGAAATACCTTAAGTGTGAAATCATACCCGTGATTATCACACTGAATGGTGCACATGTATTCTGGCCCCTGGAAATACTGTACACACATGTACAAACACGAGGCTTCTAGGGTTACTCATTCTAGGGTTGAGCCCCTGTGGTTAAAATTTTGGGCTTCGGAAAAACCCCGGTCTGGGGCATTACACACCCCTTGAAAATTTGGCGTGAGAACTTCTCCTTTCAAAACCAATGAAGTGTGATACTACAATTGAATTATTCACAGATGCAGATCATGACTAATATCGCTGTTTGCTTTTTTGACAAAAAGCAACTGCTGTGTGGCTTAGGAAAGAGGAACAAAACTTTTTTGGGGATTGTTTTATACCAAAACAGACTGGTACACAAAGAGTTGTCCTTCCAAAACCAAGGAAGTGTGGCACCACAAATTACATTATCCACAGATATGATGATTCATAATCTGTTTGCTTTTTGACAAAGGACAATTTGATTTGTGGTTTAGGAAAAAGGAACAATACTTGTGTGCAAATGGTTTTAAAATTGTATTATAACAAAACACACCGAGAATGGAAACTTCTTTCAAAACTGTTGAAGTGCGACGCCAACATTTAAATTAATCACTGATATCATGACTCACATATCTGTTGGGTTTTTTTTTTTGACCAAAAAGTCTGTGGTGGAAAAGGAACAAGGTGACTCTTTGTGAATTGTTTTAGATTGTACTTTTGATGAAATCATCTTTAAGAATAAGAGTTTCACAAAAGTCCAAAACCAAGTTCAGTTACTCATCAGGCTGATGTATTGTTGTGGTTTCATCCAATACAGAGACCAAGACTCCATGTCACACCTAGCAATTCAATAATACATGTATATCCCTGGTCAACTCTCTTAGTCTTTTTGTTTTTATGGAAATCGCCGAACCCACCACAGATCATGGGAGTATCCTCACATCTAGTGATGAGTCAGAGCTCGTAAAAAAAAAAGCTGTACAAATGACGTTATGCTTCAGTTAGAGTGCTAAAGCCAATAGGTATACGTGTACCATCAAATAACTGAAAACTGATTATGGCATTCCGGGCATACACCGCAGGCAGTCAGGTGACAGAATGAAGCCACACCCATGTCATATTCATTTGCATTGGATTTGTGAACATGTTTGTTAATTTTCACTGTACAGTTTTCAATATTTTCACATGAACTGTACATACACGTACGATGAAAAATATTGAAAACTGATTTAAAAAAAATGGCAATTTCAAATTTAATTTTCGCACTGAAAAAATAATAACATTCAGAAAACATGCGTGTGATGAAAATTTTATCATCATGGAGTTAACTTGGGAGCATTAATATATTGATTTGTTTATTGTATTTAATTTTTTGATGTCAATAGTACAAATGTAGCAGACTGTGCATCTGTTGTTTGTGCAACAGCTGTTGCTAAAAAAACACAAAAGGAAAGACACCCATTTGGATCTCTGCTGATGGAGAATATCAAGTCTGCTTTATATGTTACATGTATGTGCTGGTGAATGCTAATTGTTGGGAGTAAAAGTACGTATGCACAAAATTTAAGTAGGACATCATAAAGTAAGTAATTTGCTTTTCAAACGCTGATCATTGGCAACGACAATGTGTTTAAAATGTACACATTTTTTTTTCAGAACAGAAACACCAAATTGCAAAATTGTTGAACTTTATCTCTTTAGCTAAAACATAATTAGCTTCGGTGATTCATAATATATGTATCTTAATATTTTTTGCTCATTTGTGACTATCTGTGTTTTAATTATTCAAGTTTTTTGGTATTTATTTATATGAAAATGATTATAATGGCCACAGGTTGATTCGATTAATTAATTATTGTGTAATTGCTGTACATATTGAATTATAACGTCAAAGAATATTACACAGGTTGTTAATTATATGCAAATAAAATGCGAGGGAATCTAAATAAGACACAGAGTTATTCAGGTTCTTTATTTCTAATTTAATTTTTTGTCACCATCTATAATGTCATCACAGTCTTTTCCATATTAACAGACTTTGTGAAATTAATAGTTGGGCAATGTTTAATTATCAATTCAGCTATGCCATCACAGCAGTCAAAATCAATCAAGTGACTGTTTTTAACAGTTAGGAATTCCCTTCTTAATTCGGTTTAGCCATGCTTTGACTGGAGGTGATTGATATGCCAGCTGTACATGTACAGTCTACAAACCTCTTTTGTCTGTTGATAGAATTTGACTAGTCAAAGTGTTTACACGAATGTGATCTAATGATTTTCTATTACTAGTCTGTGTACAATTTCCTATCATGGAAAGTGGAAGAAAACTTTGACTGTCTGTGATGGATCAAACAATAGGAGGGTTAATATATAAAGATTTTCCCTTCTGATTTCATACTATGACGTTCCCCCTTTCAGTCTATGGTGCAAATCAAGGCTCCCAAGACATCACCTTTGGAAATTTTTGAACTCCCCCCCCCCCGATGTTTCATTAGCTTTGCCCATTGTGCATACATGTCTCGGTTAATGGGACAAGACATTATGCTCAAAAAGACAAGAAATGTTATTATTTTACTTCTGTTTTTGAACATTAACCTTCAATCCCCACCCCCCCATTTTTTTTTAAAAAGACCAAAAGAAAAAACAAAAGCAAGGAA